CAGAGGTGGTTTACACTACACTTTACAGTGTAGACAAGCTAGCTCCTAAATTTTCAACAAATAATTTGTACTTTGTAGTGTCTTTCTTCTTTTGTCTTAAAATGATACTGTTATCATGTTTACTTGTTTGTTTATTTTTTTGTTTATAGTCCTATTTTGCTGTGTGCTGGTGGTTAAAGTTCAAAGGCTTGTCGTGGATTTTAACAGCTTGTATCACCCTTGTATTGCTTTGTTTCTTCTTTGTTAATTTCTGGGCCTCAGAACTGTTTGACTGGAGGTGGGTAATCATCAGTAGAAATGATTCATTAATCCCTTACAACTTAACATAAACATTCATATTCTCCCTTCTCTTCTCTATTCATTTCCTTTGGTCTACTTAGGTTGGCAATCATTTCTTCTATTCTTATGATCTTAGAGAATGACTTATTTGGGAGGATAACTGTTGGAGAAATTAAATGGTGGTCACTCTTGGGGTTTAAAATGGTCAACACTTTCAGCTCCAAGAGTGATTAATTAGTGGTTTCTCCTTACAAAATCCATACACTGGCGAGCAGACAGGTAATGAGAAGAGCGAAAAATATCAACTGGGGTATATCATTTGATTTGTCATTATATTCTAATTATACCAAACTTCATAGCACTATTGGCAGCTGTAAGGAGAGTTAATATTGAAATCTTGGTGCCTAAACGTATGATCCTTAATGCCCGGTCTTTGGTTAAAGCTGATGCAGCCCCTGCTCTGTATGCTGAACTGAGCACAAATAATATCGACATTTGTTTTGTCTCTGAGTCATGGATGCATAAGAAAATTCTGTCACACTCGATTTGTCCCGATGGTTCATAAAGATCGCGCAGGAGACAGAGCTGGAGGTGGGGTCGCAGTTATTTGCAGGAATGACTGGAAAATTAAACTGCTCAATGTCAACGAGGTTTTCAATTCAGAAACTGTTTGGTGTGAGATCACTACTCATAACTCTGAATATTATGTAGCTTGTGTTTACCACCCACCTGACCCTATCTATGATGCTAACGATCTCCTGGAATCTCTATCTGACTCCTGTGATCAGATCTTGTTAGATGATCCAAATGCAAAGATTGTAATCACTGGAGATATAAACAAGCTAAGGATAAAGGATTTTGTGCAACAGCACAACCTGCATCAGATGGTCAGGGTTCCAACTAGAGGTGAAAATACTCTTGATGTTTTCTTGACTAATGCTCCACTAATTTGGAAGGCAGGCAAAACACATAAGGGACTTGTGAGGTCTGATCATCTCGTCGTCACTGTATCGCCCTTAATTCCAACAAAGCCTCACAGAAAATATGTCAGTTTTCGTGACACAAGAGACCATCATAAAATCAATATGGAATCAAAACTAAAGGCCTTTGACTGGAGGTCAGTTGTTTTGACTGATCCAGAAAAAAGTGTCCAGCTGCTAAACTCGAGGTTGTATGAAGTGTTCCACGAGTTTCCCATTAATTCGTGTCAAGGTGTCATCAAGAGACCCTCCCTACATGGTTAAACATGTTTGTAATATCAGAAATCGTACTGCACACCAAGGTAGCCATGTGGAAAATTTGATTCTCCAGGAGAAAATTAACACTCTCATCTGTATGAACCAGGTAAATGCAGTTAACAATGAGTGAGAGAAGCATAGCAGAGGCTCCAGAGGTTGGTGGGAAACTGCTAACTGAATTACCGGGAGAAAATCACAGGGAACATTTGTTAGCTCAGTATTATCCCCAGATGTCATCAATGCATAATTATTTTCAGTCCATTAATGCTGATTGCACCTATGAAGCTCCTGAGCCTCTTGAAATACCTGTTGGAACTCGCATTCCAATTGTAGATGAAAATGCTGTTAGAAAACTGTTAATACATCAAAAGAGAACTGCATCTGGACAGGATGAGTTTCCATTTTGGTTTTGGCGTGACTTTTCCATCATCTTGCGCCTGTGGTTATGGCAATTTTCAACAGTTCATTAATTCATCAAGTTGTTCCAACACTGTGGAAACTGGCAAATGTATCACCTATTCCTAAAGAATCCCCTCTAACGGAGTGCAATCAGCTGCGACCAATCTCATTAACTAACCTCATAATGAGGATTTTTGAATGGCTTGTTTGCAAACAAGAACTGTCTCCTGTGCTTAAGAATAAGGTCGGCTCAGATCAGTTTGCTTATATGAAAGGCCGCAGTACATCTATGGCTCTAATCAAGTGTCAACATCATTGGCTGAATTGGCTGGATGGGGATGTAGATTTTGTTCGGGTCTTGTCATTTGACGTTAGTAAAGCTTTTAATTCTGTTTCCGATCGAGTCCTGTGTGACAAACTAAAGTCTTATGACATTAACCCATGTATCATCAACTGGGTAATTAGCTTCCTGTGTGACCGTCAACAAAGAGTCGTGGTGGATGGTGTTGTAACAAAGTTCCTCAATATCAACAGAGGTGTCCCACAAGGGACTGTTCTTGGTCCCATTCTATTTTCCATTATGGTGAATGACATTAAGCCTGTTAGTCCAAGTTCACTACTGATTAAATATGCTGATGACATCACAGTTAGTGTACCTATTAAGTCAAGCCCAGGACAGAGTGACACATCACATAAAGAAGTTTGTAGCATCAAATGCTGGGCAGATGACAACAAGATGACGTTAAATTTCAAAAGACATTTGAAATGGTAGTAAAGGGGAAGACCAGGAAAACTCCTCCAGGTGATATTGATGGGATAGTTAGGAAGAAGGAGCTCAAATTACTAGGAGTAACATTTCATGAAGACCCATGTAATTGGGATACTCAATTTGAGCATATGCTTGGCAAGGCCAATTCTAGACTTTACATCGTGAGGGTCTATAAGTACTTTGGCTACTCCTTCTTTGAGTTGACTGTGCTATTTGATAGCCTCATGATGTCATTATTTTTATATGCATTAGAAGTATGGGCCTGTGCCCACCAGGGTAAATACATTGCACAGATTGAGAAGTTTTGTAGGCGTGCTTTGTGATATAGATATACCTCCATGTACACCCCACTGACCAGCTACATTGTTTCAAGAGATAGGCAGTTATGGAACAACATCATAACCTATGCAGCTCATCCCCTTTATGACCTTCTTCCTCCACAAAGATCACATTTTTTAAGAAGTAGGGGCCATACATACATGCATAGGTACATATAAGGTTAATTGACCACTCCCCATAGGGGCTTTTCAGGGCCAGCACCCACCCATCCCACCCAGGGGAGGACATCCACCACACAGTAATCTCGTGCATGGGAAATTAACGTCTCCTACCCCTAACCCTGCAGGAGACGGGGCCTACTGTCCTTATCCGAGAAGACTAGAATATCTATCCATTTATTGATTCTAGAAGGGTAGCAAATTCTCCTCACTCATTTTAAGACCATGAGTATTGGTCTGGCCGGGGCTCGAACCCTCAACCTCCCGCACAACACAATCCGGCGCTCTAGCCAATTGAGCTAACCGGGAGGTGGTCTCACATGCGGCCATGATTTTATCTTGCCACGTGTGAGAACCGAGAGGTTCAAGCGATGCTTTATTAATAGATGCCTATTTAATTTTGTCTGAGTCTATTTTAACTGTATAGTAGTATAGGTCAGTTTCAGTCATGTGACGTTATTTTTATGCACCGCCATGTTTGTGCATCTCGCAGAACGTAAACAATTCGAAGTAAGATTGTTGTATGCTTGATTTTTGGCTGCGGAACAAAAAGTGGAAGAGATGAATAGTAACATAGAACATTATTCTTATTGTAAACTTACACGTTTGTCTGTGGCGATGTTTTTTAATAATGAATGAATGAATAAAGATCTTTCAAAAAGTATCAATGAACAATTCACTTTGAATTTGTGTTAATATTTGTTATGGTTATTACAATTTTTTTGTAAAGATTGGACAAGATGTGTTACTACAGCACAGTCTTCATATGGTTTTCATGTGTGCTATAATTGTGTAAAAATGTCATGTACATGTGAATATTACCATTCAAAAGGTATATGAGAGGAATTCTAAATGGATGTGAAAATGTGCTGGTTTTATCTTACCATATTTTGTTTCTGAAGTGGCCTAAAAGTGAAAAACTTGAACTCATGTTTTTCATATGGTATACAATATAATTAGATGAATCCGTTTTGTTTTCTCCAGATATTACTCACCAAGAATGAGGGGTCTTGAAACCCAAGTCTTCACAATCTCGTTGGCTATTACAACAACTTATGTTGTGTTGTTCTACTCAAGAAAGAAGATGCCTTTCAAATTTAAGGTGATTGGTTGTTTGGGAAAGTTTATGAACTGATTATAAATTAAGGTCACTGGGTTTCTATCTGCTTGCACAGCAGATATCTCTCAAAGAGGCACAATTGTGAATAGTGAAAATTATGGGTGTCACCTTTGATTTTAATGGCATTGGAAGGCTAGAGAGAGAAAGAAATTTGTACCAAGGGGGGTGGGTGACAGTCAAAATAAAGAGAGAGGTGGGGGTGGTGGAGTGAGTGTTGGGGACAACAAGAAGGATAGGGAAGGAAAAAGTAATGCTAATGTCCACAGAAATTTCTCTTCTGCTTCCCTGTTCTACTGTTATTTGTTTTCTCACATTCTTCTGTACAACATTCTCTTGGCTTGAAGGAAATAGAAATTAATGATAATATTATTGCTAGTTAGCCTTGAATTTCTCTTAAACTTTAAGTTGAGGTTGTAAGGTTTACTTTATTGACCAATCAATTGTAGCAAGGTGAGACTAGATGACACCTACATTTTGACAGTTTACTTAAATCATTATTTTGATTTTACGAACAATTTTGTTTTACAGGCCACCCTTCCCATCCAACCATTTGGAAAGATCCAAGTGTTCTGTAATTTTGCAGCAATATTTGTAATTATTTACCTCTGCTTAATAATGTGGTTCTCCAAACTCTACGTTTCGTGGTCCTGCTTTAAAGACTACAGAGAAGTGTTGCAGTTATGTCAGAGCACTACTATGGTAAGTATAACACAAATCTTAACAGAAAGGAAGCAAGTTTTCAAAGGAACTCTGATACTGTGATGTTGGTAGGAGTTACTACAAGGTAAATTGGTTTCATCAACCAAGTTGACAAATGAATGTAGGTTGGCGGCCATAAAAGATGGTGAGTAAGAGTACAGAGAAGTTGTTCAGCTATGTCATAGCCCTACCATGGCGAGTATAACACAGATCTTAGCAGAAAGGGGGTAATTTTCTAAAGAAACACTGATACTGTGTCATCGGTGGGGGGTTACAACTAGATAAAATGGTTTCTTTAACCAAGTTGATGATGTAGATTGGCCACCATTGGTTACTTGTAATGGTCCAGTATCCCAATCAGGGGAATAAGCTGTATCTGGTATCCTTAAATACTCCATGCGTTGAAAAAAAGGATAAGCTCTGCCTAGAAAGGCCATCCAAGAACGTAAACTTAACATTTTACTTCAGCTACAACCCAACACAATTGCAAGGCACATCTCTGTTCAGAGGACATTCCGTGTTGTCTTTATTTTCCTCCTTTATCAAATACTCCCCTTTCAAGTCACAATATACTTTGACATGTAGGTACAGTGCTTTCCATGTAATAGCTGTGATCCAGATGAATTAAAAAGCTGTGTTAGAGAACGACACATGATGTTTCATTGTCAAGATGATCTAAAAGATCAGGTAAGATCTAAAGAAAGATCTTAAATAGTAAACTACTAGTCACGGTATATTTTACAACCTGCTGTTGAGCTTCATTGGGACAATGAGGAATACCTCAAGACAACTGTTGCCTCTATCTCCCTTTCCTTTGGGTACACATGAAACTAAAGCAAAGATTGTAATCTATATTTTGATCAAGACAGGCATTTTACTGTATGTCTTATTAGTTAACTTACCCAGTGCTTCAGATGCAAGTAGTGCTGGCACTTGTGAAGAACAGTGCCCCATATGGCAGGCCCCCTGTGGGACATAATGCAACAGTTATCTGTTTCTCTTTAGCCCTACTTTATGAAGCATGTTTTACCCCACAGTTGAGCTCGGTCAGTGAGGCTACGAGGTGGCTTTTGACTGACCAAGACTTTAGAGCAGCCACCTCTTGACAATAGACACTAGACATCAAATGAAAATTAAATGTGGGGATCTCTGTGAGATGAAGCCAGCACTGTTGTTATTTCTGAGAAAAATCATTCCTTTGCCTCTCAAAGAAGACATAACCTCATCTTTGCATGGCTCTATAATGATGTGAAGCACCCATCCCTTACCCCTTTACACCCTAACATCAGTATGCATATTCTCCTTACTGTTCTCTATACATTTTATGATGTGCTGACAAGGAGAATTTGTTTAACAATCAAGAGCTTCTTCAGTAGTTGATCATTTCCTTTATTCTTATGACCTTGTTGTTTGATTCAGGGGTGATATTGTAAGGAGAAATTAGATGCTAGTCACTCTAAGAGGTTAAAGGGTTAATTCTTAGTTCTTATTAACCGAGCGAGAGGTCTGTATGGGAGAATCTTGACCGAGGTCGCCAGTACAGACCTCACTGCGTTCCGTCTGTACCAGCGACTGTACCATACAGACCGACCTAGCTCGGTTAATAAGATGTTTATTATATGGCTGTGTCTTATATGCCAATTTTTTATATTCTTTGTACCTTTTTTTTTCTAGACCGGTCTAGATGCCGGTCTAGATGGGAAAATCTAGACTGCTTTCAATATTGATTTCAGCCAATTAAATTCATGAATTTGGTAGTTTCCAGTCCTTGTGAGATACAGCCATATAATAACCTCTCATAATAACCCCTTCTAAACTACATTAAAATATTTGATTTTGGAAAGGATTGCTCAAAGGGCACCTTAGAGTAACTAGACTGGGTTTTTTTTTAACTTTTCTGATTTTTCAGGGAGCCTTTTGCATCTTCAACTACAACCTCAGTGTCTTTGTCTTTCTCACAGGTATTTTAATTTAGAAATTCTTCATCTTCCTTTAAAATACACAACAAGGTTCCTACAAATCTTTGAATTCATGTTGAGGTATTTGTGATATTTGGATATACGGCAATAAAAACCTTTGATGTTTTTTTATTTCAATACTTTAATCCACACACTATCCACATGGCAGCCAACGAGTACCACAACAACAACTTTCGCTAGGCATCACGGGATGCCTACAAACACAAACTTTTCACACTTCCAGCACAATACACTACAGTATTGATATTTTTCAAATTAATTTTTAAGACCAAGAAATTGTATGAACAATTACTACTGAAAAAATTGGAAGAAGTCTACCCAAGCTGTAGCAAGTACTGTTTCTCATGGCTTGGTTTCTGTTTTTTTTTTGTAATTTTTAATTAATAAATAGAATGCTTCTTCAGTGGAATAAACCTCACAAACTCAACAGTCTTCCTCAGAGGCCCTTGCTGAAGTCTATTCGGTTAACAATGAGTTTTTCAAATATTGAGTTGACTTGTGATGAAGTGAATGTTTTTTTACAAGGTAGCTGAATTAAACTAGAATACCTGACCAAAATGTTTTGTTATAGTTGGTGAATTTCCAGTTATTGAGGCTATTGGGACAATGTTTGTGTTATCTCCAATTTTTTTTTTTTTTTTGCTTCTTTTTTTCTTTCCAGTTTTTGCCTATGTTGGTGGCTTGGTGGTGTTTCTCAGCAAAGTCTTTACCATCTTACTCCATTACACATTTCGAGCATTTTTTCTTTTCATGAAATGGTGTCAGATAAAATTTAGAGTCAGGGAAGGGCACAGAACAAGCATGGATCTTCCCACCATTCAGGATAACATAACGAATGTGTCTATACAAGAACCATTCCAATATGTTGAAAGGAACACTCATAATGATGCTGAAGTTACAGACAATAGTTGTCATTTAAATGCAAGTATTGATACGTGTCACATAGAGGAAGGTGACCCATTTGTTGATTCCCTTGTGGAATAGTTTTCACAACTGTGAAAGGAGAGGAAGTTTAAAGAGAAAGCAGATAATTATTGATATAATTATTATAATTTCGATCAGTTTTGTTTTGTAATGAACTAATTTCTTTACCCCTTCAAATCTCTGGTGGTTATACAAGAATCCACTGTTTTATTATCTATAAGGTTACTACATAGTCTGTGTTTTGTTAGAGAGCTTAACAATGTCAAATTAATTTCGAATAAAGTTTCTTATCTGAAGGTTGCTACATAATTATCAAAAGTTATCTGCCATTTCCAACACAAACTTCCAGCTCTGAGTTTGCTGCATACTTTTTGTAAGAAACACCAGTCAGAAAACCGTGAACACTTTGGTTTTATTCTGAAAAGTCAACTGTGAACTGACCAATTACAAGAAAGTTCAAGACAAAAGAACACCTGATGCCTGATTGGTAATTTCCTTGAAATACAGTGACATTCCATAAATTAAGTTAACAGTTGTCTGAGTCCATGTGGCAATAAAAGTATATTTGTCCATGCTATTTCTAATAGATACAAAAGAGAGGCTTTGAAAAATGGTGCATTCTCCATCACAGAAAGATTGATTATTTCATTTCCTAAAAAAATGTAAATATCACAGATTTTTCAAATTGAAATGTTGACTATTTCATTCAAATACTGATGTCACTCAAGTGCTGGCACCTGGCATCAGTCTGCATATTCTCTATACCATTCTCTAGACATTTCCTAAGATGCAGCTAAGGAGAATTTTTTTGACAATCAAGAGCTTTTTTAGTTGGTGATCATTTCCTTCATTCTCCTGACCTTAATGTTTGATTCAGTGGAGTCATTGTATGGAGAAATCAGATATTAATCACACTAAGGGGTCAAACGGTTCATTCATTTCAGAGATGACCACTTGTAAATGTACAATTAAGTTCGACTTTTATTTGTAGTTTTACAACAAAGTAGTGAATTATAAATTAATGTTTGACTACATACTGGCATAATTATATTAATGATAGTACATTTACAATAATTGTATAGTTTATAATCATATTACACCTGTATAAAGAAAATCCTATGGACAGACAGTCAGAATTCAGAAAATAAAAGTGTCAACAGGGTGGAAAGCAATGACTGGCCAATACCAGTCCAAGGGTATGAGGACAAAACAACAAGCAAAGAACATATGCACAGCCAGAAAAGTGGGTTTAACCCTCCCATGATCTGGCTGTTAATTCTCTTATATTATTTTGTGACAATACCAATATTAAAATTTAAAATAAAACTAAAAAATTTAATTCAAACTTTACTTAATAACATATTTAAAAGAATATATATTTTTTAATAACTAAAATTTACAAAACTACTATTGCTACTTCTGATACAAACATTTGAAAACAAACTATTTTTTTCCCTTAAAATACACTTTGGCATTAAAAGTAACAAAATGTAAGTAACTAAATCATGCTAAACCAGAACTAATTAGTTTTAAAGACCCCTATTTTTCTAAAAAATAATCTTAAACTTGCTTGCACAAGTTCAATCTTTTAGGTTCACTTATCAGTGCCCAAGACATACAAAGTAAACATAACACTCAGAGTCATTGCTGCATCCAGAAATGTACATTCTGACTGTCTTGACGAGAGTTAATAGGCTTTCATTACTAGTAAGTTGCATTCATTACTTAGAAAAAGATGATTTGTGCATTATCACTTAAAATCCTCTCTAAATTGTTAAGAACAACTCAACAATGCTTTCTTAGCAAATGGTTAACTGACAGAGGCACATGTCTCTGATAAATGTCCAAACACTTTTAACTTTGCTCTGAAGAGTGGGAGTGCTCAGAAAACAAAGAATTAACTTCAGCACCTAACATGCTGTACTTGGCTTCCTGTTAAAAAAGAACAAACCAAATTAATAACTACCAATATAAATATCTTTGAATCATATTTTAACACCATCATTACCTAAATTATTCCTCTATCATACCTTTATTAATGGTTAAGCAATAAATTGTTAAAATTAAAGTTAGTATGAACAAAACAAAAGTAATGTTTCTTCCATCAATATTTTCTGTGGCAGATCCACAGAGGGTGGAGGGGGTGTGTGTGTGTGGGAAAACAGGTATACTTTAAACATTTAATAAAGTAGGAAAAGTAACTTCAGTGTATATGTCTTTTTGAAAATGCAGACAAGCCCATATAAACATGCCACACCTACCCACCTTGACATCAACCAATAAATGTAACTGCCAAAATTTGGCCCTTTTTACCATCAAGAACTGGACACATTAAAAGACAAAATATTTGCAGCAAGCACCAAGGAAAAGGTATATGCTTGTGCTCCAAGTCAAGACCAAGAACTATGCAAACAACTCCAACTCCAAGAAAAAAAGAAATTAAGTTAAAGTAATTCTGTTGTCGCTATTCTTACCTGATCCAGTCTGAGATACTCTTTCCGCAGCACAAAAAAGAAAATTATAAGAGCAGGAATCAGGAGGAACAACGCAAAATCGTACGAAGTAAAATGCATCCATGGTTTACCTGAAAAGAAATATTCGATATCACTCACATTAAAGCCTACAGTAGTCACTTTCACTGTAAACTCTTTTTTATTGCTGCTTGCCTCCCCCCTCACCTTCTCAGTCCTTTTCTCTGAAGTTAAGCCCCCCTAAACCCTCTCCCCACTTCATCATATCAAAAAAAAAAGCTGACAGCTCAGCTTCTTGATCCACTTTAAGTAAGCCTCTCTGATCTGCTTTACCAACACTACCCCTCTCTGACAATCCCCTTGCTAACAATCCCCCTGTTTAATAATTTCCCCTCTTACAAAATCCTTTCTAAAGATACCTCTAGCTAAAAACTCCCATCTCTGTCAATTCCCCTTTCTAAATATCCTCCAATCAAACAATACCCCTTACTGAAAAATTCACTTGCAAAATGGTCTCCCTTTCTGAGGATCCCTGCCCTCTGGTGATTCTCTATTGTCTATTCCCCTCTTTGACATTTTTCCTCTCTAAAGATCCCCCTCAATTCCTACCTAAAAATCCCTGTCTCAAAATCTCCCTCTCAAACAAACCCCTTCTCTTTAACCCCCCCCTCCCCTCCAACGATGTTCTGATCTGGCAATTAACTCTGAAAATCCTGCTCTCTGATTCTCCCCCCCCCCTCCCCACTACAAAGTTCCCACACCCCCACCCCCTCAGCATCACTTAGGGTCTTGAGTATCCAACAATCCCCACTGAGTATATCTTGAGCAAGGAATTGGCCTGTAACAGTTGATACTTCTTAGAAAAGACCTCTCTGTTAATATGTACTCACAATTTGTATCAATGCAAGATGACCAAACAATAGATGGAATATCTGCTGGTAGAGTGAAGAGTACACCACTTGCAAGACAAATCTAGAAGATAAGAGAATTACATTAATCATAACCAAATGTTTTAAGCATTAAAAACAAAATGAGTTTCTTCTTTTCATAACGTTTGGTGCATTGTGATAATTTCACATAACTTCTCTGCGCTTCTCAACTAATATTATTTTTGTAAATAGTGTAAGAAAGATGGGAAATTCTAAGCTCAGTCATGAAATAGAGAAAGACACTGCCAATCCTAGCAGTACGCAGGACGTATGTCAAACAAGAATTTCGTAATGGGCCTTGCTCACCATAGAGTCTCTGTGGCTTAGTGGTAGAGCATAGAAGCGCGGAATCCGAAGGTCTGAGGTTCGATTCGTCATGGGGACTCAGAATTTCTTCTTTGTCCCACACTCGTGACAGACGAACAACAAATTTAATCTCACCTTGGTAAAAAATGTTGGGCCTTCTTCATCTTGACATAAAATAATTAAAATGACCAAAATTATTGCCAAAAAAGCCTGAGTCCAAAACAAGGCCATGTAGGTCCAAAAAAATGGTTCAAATTGCTCTTTCCTATTAAAATAAAAATTAGAATTATTCATTATTTACCATTATAGTAATTATAGATACCATATTTTCTAGAGTAAGACCCCAGAAGCCTGTTTAAAAAACTTAGATTTGTAATAAAAATTGATAGAAACAGGATTTCCTTGTATCCATAATATTTAAGAAACTGAGGGAGGAAGGGGGGCACTTATTCAAGAGGGGTGCTAATTGTTTGGACAGAATGCTTAATAAATAAATAAATAATTATAATCATAAATAATAAATAATTTAGCAGTGGACTTCCACTGGGTGGCTCTTCTGGTCCACTGTTCCAGATCGAATTGGAATTTGGAATGTTGGTTTTTGAAGAGGGAGGAGAACCGGAGGATGCGGAGAAAAACCCTCAGAGCAAGGATGGGAACCAACAACAAACTCAACCCACATGTGACACCGGGTCCGGAAATCGAACCCAGGCCACAGTGGTGGGAGGCGAGCGCTCTCACCACTGCACCATCCCCGTTCCCCCTTATGAGAGTGCTTATTCAACAAAACACATTGATACAGCACTATGCAAAATAAAATCAAACTGGATAAACACTTATTTACGATAATTCAGTTGACTGAATAAGAAAGAGAATGGAACTGCATTTGTCAGTGGAGACTTTACCAATTAAAGTGCACCTACACCCAAAAAATTTTTTTCGCTTAACGAAGTAAGCTTATTTTTTTGAGTATTTCTGCGCAAAAATTTTTTTATTTGCTCAAATCTTCAATTTTCTATGCCCAGTCAAAATACGGAAAATCGGCCGCCATCTTGCCCCACGACCGAGTTTAAAGAGGAATGGCTCTAGTGGGTAATGTGACGTCAAATCGAGAACACGAAAGTCTGCTTTTCACACATTTTCACTTGTTTGGGAAGGTTGTAGTCGATAATTGTCCGAAAATATGCCGACTAAGTGTGTTGTAGAAGGATGTAGCAACGTGCGAAATTTGCAAGAGGGTATCGCGCTCCATACAATCTTCATACAACACACCTAGTCGGCATATTTCGGACGATATCGACGACAATCTTCCCAAACAAGTGAAAATGTGTGAGATGCAGACTTTCGTGTTCTCGATTTGACGTCACATTACCCGCTAGAGCCATTCTTCTTTAAACTCGGTTGTGGGGCAAGATGGCGGCCGATTTTCCATATTTTGACTGGGCATAGAAAATTGAAGATTTGAGCAAATAAAAAAATTTTTGCGCAGAAATACTCAAAAAAATAAGCTTACTTCGTTAAGCGAAAAAAATTTTTTGGGTGTAGGTGCACTTTAAGCCAAATGGACACTTGGCTTTAATTTTGTCATTTTAGGAAAGACAAATAATTTTCAGTAATGGGATAAGAAACTGAATAACAAATTTAAGCAAGCATTTCTAATTAAAGAATACTTACACTTGGGCTTCTACTAATATCAGAAACAGTATTACCAGCAAAAATTGTACCACAAACAAAGAGATCACTCTGCCCCTTGAAAACTACAGGTTGGTAACAATAAAAACAAATCAGATGGTGTTAATCAAAAATTCATTGGTATGGTATTTCAAATATAAAATAATGCAATTTTCACAACCTTCCTTGTTAAGCATATTCCCAAATAAAGATTCTTTCATTTGATCTTGTTAGCTCTGGCATAATATATATACTGGGTACATTCTTTTCAAGATTTTTCAAGTCAAATGCCAAATAATGACATACTAGGAACCATTATTCAAAAATCGTAGCTTACTGAAACCATCCATTCTGTCAGTTGAGATTCAAAGATGATCTTAATAGAAATTGATAATTTTCCCACAGTTATGACATCATATGGACATCAAACTATACATCTGTTAACTTCAACCTCAGCAAAACTAATTTTAAAAGAATAGACTAATATTTGACCATCCAGAAAATGTGTAGATTAATATAATTATGCCTGAGAGAAAATATGTATTTAATACTTCATCTTTGTACAAGAAACCAAGCACGAATGGTATGGCACACAGCAGAGAGAATCATCAATTATTTGAACATTTGGTGTAAATCTATCAATTACAACAACCATAAAACTTGAAGTTAAACTTCAAATTTACCATGACGGTAATTCCAGTATGTGATCCAGTTTCAGAGGTAGTTGTACTGCGCTCTCCCGAATTCAAACTCCTTACTTCTTGTATAAGAAATCCTTGGAGAGAGAAATCAACCCACAATGACTGTTAGTACCAATAACAGTAATAGTTGGCGCACAAGTTACAGCAATCTGCTGTTAGTAGTAATCTGCTGTAATCTGCAAGTTATGGCAATCTGCGGTCTTTCCTTACACTTGGGTAGCACGGAAAGCCGCAAAACTCTTGAACAAAGGCTCATCTTTCAAACCGGCAGTCTAAATCCCACGGGTATCAACGAACGCTTTTCATTCCACTAATTTATTCGTGTTTTTCTCGTTGCCATGTTCCCACCAATCACGTAGCTCCATTTTCTGCCTTTAAAAGCACACACAACCCACAATTCCTCTATTCGCTCCGACAAAGGGCTAACATTCGAAATGTCAGCTTTTATAACTGTAACGGTGGCCAATTTCCCATTTCAACTTTGTTGATATATTCACACAAGTTACAGGATTGGCTTAGGAATCAAATAGGAAATAGTTAACATGCTAGCTGAGCTTGTGAAAGAGGCAAGAAGGAGGTGCTCATATACTAAAGGAGTTTCTCACAAACTGACTAGCAGGCTGGGTTTCAAGTTGGGATAATATTATATGCCACTTGATTATGCTCTCTCTTTTGTTGCCACATGGCATGTTGTTCTTTTGACATTAAGCTATAAAAAGCCAACTTCTGCAGGTTTTTTTTTTCTCAGTAACAGCTTGCAATTCTCCAATATGATCTCTTAGTTTGTAAATGTTGCCTTGGGTTTTCCATAAAGTGCTGATGCATATGAGAAATCATTGTAGATACTTACTGTCTTTATATTCATTAATTAATAGTTATACCTGATGATCTGAACTTCAACTGGTGATTCAGTGCACATAATAAACAAAAAACCTAGAAAAAAAAATGAAATCATTGAGTCAGACTCTAAAATAAAGATGTGATAAATTTTATTTAATAAAACATCAGGTCTTTAAACTGACAACTGACTAAAGGCTTGACTCGACTGTTAATTCTTATGTGGAAAATCTATTGAACTTTTTATTACAGTTTGAAAGATGATCATTCGTCACAATTTTGGATGCCTCTTTACTAACAATATCTTTACGCAATTACCATAACTTATCTGTAAAGAACTACTTCTCACTTTCACCTTACCTCAATCGACTTTAACACTCCATCTAAGAGATTAAAACATACAAAAAAATGATGAGTGGGGGAAATGACACCACTGAGACAGTTGCACTGTAATTGTGATAAACAAAATTGGCTGGTTATTTACACAAGTTGTAACCTACATGTAAACACAAGTTTTACACAATCAGATGGCCTCACGCTTTTTCTATAAGAGGGTTAGTTTAATTTAATAAATGGCCCTTCCACTGTTAGTATTGGGCCCTGTTGACACTGTTCACAACACTAAATGTTTAGATAAAAGGTTCAGCTTAATTGAGGATTGTTTAGGATGCAGTTTGTTTAACAACAGCTAAACTTTGTTTGAATAATCAGACCATTGAGCCTAGCACTGTTTTTTAACTATGCAAAGTGTACCTCATTGGACAAAAAGAAATAAGTTACCAGTAAGATTTACACAACAGTGGGAAAAATATTGATTATTATCACTGATACCTGTTATGAAGTAAACATCCAGTCTCACATCTTGATGGAAGGGAGATTTAGTTGCACCATAGATGCCTGCCCCAACAGTTGATCTAGACAGAGTAATGGTTCATTTTCAAAAATTATATTATACAATTATAGTATAATTGCTGTCAGTGGTGATTAAAGAGATGTGGGTACTCTGATTGGTAGAGGATTGTATCATATCTTGCTATAATCCCCTCCCACTGGATGATTATAGCAGGAAATCGAAATTTTAAAATGGCTGTCTTGCATTTGTCAGTGTTACCATGGAAGTGATGAACATGATAAAGAAAATTCAATTCCATTTCAAAATAGCACAAAAAGATGCCAATAGATTTGGAATAGCACTTTTCAAAAGAAATATGTGATGTTTTTGCTGATTGAATCAAATAAGCCTTAACAAATTCTAATGGAAACTCAATGCGAGTAATCAAAACCATTGAAACAGAATGGTTTCAACATCAAAAACTAATATTTACGACAGAATTCAAAAGCAACTTGTAAGTAATTATACTTAAACAATTATTTGCTTTACACACTGTGAATATTATTGAATAATCACCTTCACTTCATTTCTGGGATTATTAGGCAATATTCACTGAGCCTTTAGCAAATAATTATTGTTAATTAGACTTACCCACAAAAAATATAATTGGTCAAGAGCATTCAATCAATCTACAATAACATGCGAAGTTGACATGATAAATGCAATATTTACAGGGGATATTGTATTTATCGCCATGATGTCAAGTTTAAACTCGGGCCAGTTCTGAGCCCCATGTCAAAATTTTGTAAATTCAGAAAGATGTGTCTTCTTTTGCAGATTGTTTAAAAAATGTATGATATCATTTAATTTTTGTATTATATCCCACACAACCTCATCCAGTGCCTGCTTAATAATTAAGAATGTAGACTATTAGTTGTACATAGCAAAATGAAAAAATCCTCAAAAGATTGGCAAAGATATGATGTCTTGTGATCAACAGGCATTGCAAATTCCCTGGAATCTAAACCCTAATGTTGATGTAACTAACTTTAGGCTACTATACAGGACTAACTCCTCAACTTACCTTACAAACATGACAATGAAATATGCAATCCAAGCATTGTTGGAGATGACGCTACTTCGAACAGTAATGTTCAGGACAGTAACACTGGAACACAACAATTATACAAAACAGTTCACTTAAACAAAATTACTTAATTATTCCTTAACATTAACATTTCTGAAGGTAAGTCATTTTATTTTTGTTAAAATATACTTCACTGGAACACAACAATTATACAAAACAGTTCACTTAAACAAAATT